AAAGTGTCGCTGTAAGCCAATGACAGTGTCAGAAAATAAAGCGACATCATCTGCAAAAAGCAAGCACATAATTTCAACCAAATCCGGTGAAAGTTGTATGCCCCTCTGAACCCCAGAATGTAACTCGTGTGCCAATGATTTCAGATGGCATCCTTTTCACTTGTCTGATATTAAATAATGTTTCAAACAGAAACCATTTGAAAAGTACTTCATGTGGAGCACGATATGCTCACTCCCGACACTACTTCATTTATATTATGGAGGTCATTTTTATTTGACTGTGCCGTGTACTTGTCTGTTGTTTTGCTCTGTTCTTGCGTATTGTTTTGTTAATGGTTATGAGTCGTTTTTTGTGTTCTTGGACTTTTAAATTTACCAATGAGACTTTGGATAAAGATCTACTTTATTTCCACTGTGGCATGTCTGGCACGATGGATAAACACAATGAGGGGTATAGCTGCAGTTCTGTAGCTCGCTAGGTTTCACTTTAACCATGGTTTCGCGTTAACAACACGACGAACGAAATAACCGATAGCGAAACCAAGTGAGCTAAAGAACTGCAGCTAGGAGGTGTAGTGTGTCAATGTGTGTTTTTATAAATGAACGTGTGACTGATTGTTGTGTGCTATGCAAGGCACACGTGCATAGATTGCCTATCTGCGATATGTAATGATACCATACTTTATACATGTTTTTTTCTAGGTGATATCGTTATTGATATAATAAATAACATTTATCTCATTAATTACTTTACCAGGTATGAATGGCAGAGAAGTGTTAGAACAAGTTGAACGTGGATATCGTATGCCAAAACCAAGGCACTGCCAGGATAGCTTATATGATGACGTAATGCTGAAATGCTGGGCCCACGAACCACAAGATCGACCAACATTCTATTTTCTTCACGCCTTTTTAGACGACTATTTCATTAGTCATAAAGTTTGTCATCAGCTTTAATATTATTACCGTGATTGCTTGTTTCATTATTTTATTTCATTATTTCAACATTGAACTATGAAAAAAGTTAAATATCAAATGAAATATTATAGATATTATGTGTGTCCAGTTGTTTGCGGAAGAAATTATGGCGTTCCATGGGTTTAAAAATAAAATGTGCATGTAATCCATAATGTCCCTATTAGGTTATGTTAATTCATAAATTTATTTCAAAATAATATTACGTAACCATGACAAATCCCCGTATTGCTTTATCTACAGTACGTACTTTACATATTTTTAATATATTGCACATATTATTTGTCTTTAATAATGAAATATTATTTCATTTTTAAATTGTCAATAGTCAATATACTGTAATTGCTGCCATTTGTAACGTATTTCTGCCAGTCTTGGTGGAAGATGTGATTGTGAATCATAAACTACTAGTACGTCAGACATTTGCGATTTGTTTCCCGGAAACTGTTCTACGCTCCTTTAAACTCTCGTGAGTATTGGTCACAATTGTCTGCAATATACTATTTGGGATGTTCATGGTCACGTGATATCAGTACGTCATCAATTCCGACATATTGTGTTATTCTGGTTCGTATCTAGACGTATATTAATCACTAAAATAGATATGTATAATATCAGTCTATGGCGGCGCAAGTTAGTAGTAACAAATGTTTTACTTGAAATGCCTATAATCCTTCTATTGGTGTGAGTGTGTAGATTGATGGCGTAAACATAATATCACGTGACTGCAGTAGAAAACCACGAATAGTGTATGACCAATAATTACATTCGACTCTTTTAATGTTGAATTTCAATCGAGCACATATTGAGCCTTGTATGGAATCTATCGATGTCTCGAGAAATGTATCTGTTCTAACTTGTATTTGCATAACCTAGAAAGTTACTTGTTTTAGGTCTGGTTTCACAATATTTACTAATTCATTTACTAATTCTTAAAAACATGTTTTAATTAGTCCACGGTATTCCAGGTTACGATTTAGTGACGTCGCCGTTTGATATTTTTGACCAATGAAATGTATTTACGATATGTATGATGACGGTCTTCTTACTTCTATGTGTTGTATCCGGTATGAGATACATAACTATATATTCGAACTTCCTTATATATGTTAAAGTTATTTGTTATTTGCATTTTATTCCGTGAATCAAAAGCGTGTCTTTATGAATTTACTTTAACTTGTAGATATAAATATGTGATAAATTAGCCTCAATTGATTGATGGACGTGAGTCGGACAGTTGATTGACATCTTTTGATTCACAAACATAACCCATGTAAGTAACAAACGTTTCATGCACTGTAATCGACATCATATTCACGTTGCGCATAACCTGTCATGGGCATTGCGCATGACGTTATCCAGCGTACGAGACGTCATACCCCCATTGCGCATGTCACAAGTGAAAGTCACTAGACTTCTTCAATTAGCAATGTGTAAGTGTCTGCAAGGTTATTGCAGTTCAAGAATCAGTTCAAATTATTGCAAATTATTCCACTCAAGAATGGTTTTTAAATATGTTATCATATATCAGCTATACAATGAAAAGTTTCAAATAAAGAATATGCAAAAAAGTATGGAACATGGTGTAACATCATTATTTGCATTTTTATTACTATTTACCTCATTATTTATATAGACCCTATATAACAGGATATGTAATTCCCACCTCCAATAGACATCACATAATCGTATATAACATAAGATACCATAGCACAGCAGTATAATATGAATATGTATGCAGATAATTTACATATGTATAACCTTGTATGTCAACACAGGGTCGCTGTATCTGTGTACTCGTACATGATATCGATATGTGGGATGTCGTATATTCACCGATAGAGGACGCTAATGTGATGAATGACGTCGAATGGTCCGTTAACCAATTACTAGTACATTATGTTTTCATGGGTTTCTTCCCAAACGCAATGTAGGAGAATTCGCTTCAATGGCGGTACCTCTGATGCCAGTATGTTGTGTGATGTAGCGTTGTGTTGTTTATTGCGAAGAATCGCCAATGTATTATTTGAAGCTTTTCAACAGTCCCCACTGCAAGGATTGTCATCAGTATGTGGCCTAGTACTGAAAAAAAATTTACAGTTGGTCGAACTATTATTACAGACTGTCATTTGATCCTTATAACAGTGCGTATTTGACGCAGGTACCGCATTACATCTTTTGATTCCATGCGTCCGTTCCTTTGACGTGGCGCGCAAGCATGGATCGGTCTTTGCAAAATATTGAATTCATTGTTAAGTCTAATTACTTCACAATTCACACCAAAAGATCTGCCGTAAATATAGTTACTATACTATTACTGAAAGCATAACAACTTACCTCGTGTATGCGAATATTACTGTGCCTTTCACGGTCATCGTGGTCGTTTTTCACAACTGTGTTTCTTTAGTTAAGATTAAGATTAATAAATTGAATTGATTTACATAGTTGGATTGCAGCCCTTAACTTATCCGGTTGTAAAATATCATTCCCATCGCAGACTGTGAAGAAAATTTTCTACTCTACGATTTTGTCTGTGATATAACCAGCAATTTGACTGGGCAATGCATTGAAGAAAAGAACTCTAGTATTGCCAGAGAGGGCACAGTTCAATATACGTTTGCTTTATAGAATCTGCCAAGGTGCAGTGGGGAAGCGATGGGGAGGCGTAATCGACACACGTAATCAGAATTACAGCACAATTATCTAATTGTTGCGCCTATAGATGGTCACCCGAACATAACTGCCGTCTACTTGAAAGTATGTAATTCATGAACGAATCGGACCGATCGACCATAATAAGTTTGACTTATGACCTTACGCCACTCCGTCACCATGTACTATCGAGCATGAATCCCCCCCCCCCCACTCAGGGTCCATAGGGGGCCGCATGCGCGTTCCCATTTTCTCGGGAAAGAGGGTACTTTTTGACGATCTGTCTCGGGAACATTTTCCCCAGAAAATCGTAGAAAAGGGGGTATTTTTTGCTTGTTTTTCCGAGATTCTCAAAATAGTGTATTTCAAAACACTTCCCGAGATATACAAAAAAGGGGGGTTTAAAAGGAGTTCTAGACTGAAAAGTTCCCTAGATAGGGGGTGAAATTCATCGGAAAAGCCCGTGAAAGGGGGGGGGTAAATTGTCTTCTTTTCCCTAGATAGGGGGGGGGGAAATGAGGGAACAAGCATAGCCCCCCTAAATATAGGGAGTGGGGGGGCGGGGCATGAATCATGATAGCGAGCACTACGTCACCATGTACTATCGAACATGAATCATGATAGCGTGCACTACGTCACCATGTACTATCGAACATGAATCATGATAGTGTGCACTACGTCACCATGTACTATCGAACATGAATCATGATAGTGTGCACTGCGTCACCATGTACTATCGAACATGAATCATGATAGCGTGCACTACGTCACCATGTACTATCGAACATGAATCATGATAGTATGCACTACGTCACCATGTACTATCGAACATGAATCATGATAGTATGCACTACGTCACCATGTACTATCGAACATGAATCATGATAGTGTGCACTACGTCACCATGTACTATCGAACATGAATCATGATAGTGTGCACTACGTCACCATGTACTATCGAACATGAATCATGATAGTGTGCACTATGTCACCGTGTGCTATCGACGAACATGAAATGTGAAAAGTTATTTTTTCGTCTTATTAAATATATATTACGTTTTATTGTATCCGCTTTCATAATTAATCGTCACAATTTGTTTACCAGTAATGTTCTTTTGTTCTCTTGAATTGCAGCTGGTTCTTTGACATCATCTCCCGGGAAGATACCGGTGATAAGTTAAACACGGTGACTCAGCAAGATGGTTGGCGGGATGCTTGGCTTGTTTCAATGCAACTGTGGACGATTTCAAAATGTGTTTATCAGCCTGAGTGAAAAATAGATGTGACTCACGATGACAATAAGCCTACTCAAGTAGTTAGAAACACAAAACAAATCAAGTATTGATTAAACCACAGTCCTTCTATCCCGGACTATGATTAAACATATACTGTAGTACGCAAGTTTATCGCGGATTTATACAAATAGTTACCAGCTCAAATTTCTGAACTGGCTAGTCTGCAGGTGAAAATAAAGTCTCTCCGTATGTGAGGGTGGTTTCGCGAGAAATTGCATGATGGTCTAAACAAATCCTCCAACACCGTGACTCCCACGAAGACCCCATTGTGCATGTATTATGTTGCTATACAGTTCCACCATCGAAATTATATACTTTTCATTTTTTTCTTCAAATGGCGGTGGTCGTCTCACAACACGCGTCGCGAAGACCACCGCCCTTCAACATTTAGTTTCCCCATTCATAATACGATTGTATAAAAATGAATGAATGAACGAACGAACGAATGAATGAATGGCGCCTATCACGATTTTCTTTAATTTTAGTTTTTGTTCTGTTGTACGCCTATCTTGAGTACAAGATGTCTTCTAAATTGTGAGCACCTACTTTATGTCTGTATTAGATTACGATTATACCAAAGGTTACATTGTCAAACATTACAGAATTAGAAGCATGGATACCGGTGGTTTCTTCATTGCTCAGTGTGCTATATTTCCCACTCTGGTAGAGTAAGTAAAACACTTTTTTACATAATGGATCGTGTTGTTGGGAAGTATTCACATTTGCCCAATCGGTCTCTGCTGCAAACTGACGGTGGCGTGTTCCAAGGAGAATCCTAACACACCAGGACTGGGCCACGATAAATGGGAAATACCGCGAGAATCACTCACATTCCGAACAAAGTTTGGTTCAAGACAGTTCGGCGACTGTCTATGATGTAATACTTTTAACCGATAATGTTATAATTAGACCCACCAATGCTGTAAAATGACAAATTTTCTGATATTTTAATAATCGTTTTCAACCGAAATTATTATGAAAATTTTACTGATATTGTAGGAGCATTAATTAATCAACAACCACTATAAATTAACCATTGAAACATATTTTAAACCGAATCATAATTATTACAGTAATCAATATGTGTGTGCTGTTTATTTAATATCCGTATGGTAATGTATACCTCTTATGTCTTGATTTAAAAAATAATAATACATGGGTATATTTCGGATAACATCATTTATTTGGCGTTCATAATCAATTTCTTGAAACACATGCTGGTGCATCAAGGTCACGAGAAGAACAGGTTTATTTTTTTACTTACTAATATATTTTTGGAAAAACCTGAATACTTTTATATTTGATCGGATGGTACTAAATGAGTTTTTCAAAAAATTAAAACAAACTGGTAATGATGTGTTTTGCATAATTTTAAATCTCTGGGACGGCATAGATAAAGTGCACGCTAGAAGTTCTTACCACATGCACTTCAACTATTTTTTTTACTTATAAAGAGTAAATATTTCACATATCCACACCTAAATATCGCCATTCACATGCAATTTACGAGTTTCGAGCCCCTCCGTTACCTTAGAAACTTGCGTGCTCTGGTGTTACCAATTTCGTGGTGGCGTGACTTCCCCACGGACACGTTTGATAGCTCACCAGAACGTCAGGAGCCGGAAACCAACGAATCAATTCCGGGAGCCAGATATCAACCTTCTTTTCTCGCACGGAAACCGACTGGTAGCGTTATAACTCGAAACTCGTCAATTATTTGTTTGATAACCCCGTGTTCCATCCCGTATAACGTAGTTGTAACCATTTCAAAGACGAAGTTCTGAAAAAAAAACAGTGTAAACAGGATATCGTTTCAAACATGAATAAATGTGAACGTACATATATGCAAAATAATATGTGGCAAACGAACCGAAGTATTTCCTATAAACACTGGAGGGCGCACTTACAAGCGGCCGGTCAAGTTAATTACTGTATAAGGTAAATCTCTTTTTAGCTCTAACACACAAATTACCACATATTGTTTGTAGCTCCTCGAACAAACTGTGTTATTTTTTAGAATCCCTACCTCTGGGATGTTTTTTCTATAGATAACAGGGCCTTGACTTATAAAGCGCACAATGCCGTACAAGGCCGTATTTGACATTCTTTCCAGTCTCATTTGTATGTCATATATGGTCGAGTGAAGCGCTATATTAAAACCGTTTTTATCCTATGGCTTCTTCGTTGTGTCAGTAGCTCATCGTCGACAGACATTACTTGTTTCAGCGAAGATTTTCATTCAGCCTGACTACGCAGTTTGAATCAGTTTGAAAAATCGATATAATAATGTATACTAAGTATACTGTACTTTATTTTAGCTGGAATTAATTTTCGCTGAATAGACTTTTTGGGTGTTTTGTATGTAATTTTTTTTCACTGATTTTTGACGAGTTGAATGTAAAATATAGGAAAAAAGGTATAAACGCTGGATTTTATTTTCATTGAAACATTCTTCTAGCAAAAATAGCGAATTTTGGTTCCAAGCGAAAATAAAGTATTCCACAGTATTGCCTGGCGTCACGTGACCATTGCTACATAACTTCTTTGTGTGGATGAACCTAATATACACGACACCTTTTTTCATATATAGCCACGTTCTTAGCACGGTTAGTTTAGTGACTGTAGACTGTACCATGGCTTAGCTGATCTGAAGAGAAGAAGTTCGAGACTTGGAGCTTCCACTAGAAAAAAATATCATCATTACAATAAAACTTCGAAAGAAAATGTCGTCTCAAATGTACAAACACTACTTAATGTAATTCACCAATCTGATTAAAATAAGATCCTCGTTTTGGCTTTTTTTTTTTGTATATTTATTTTATTTCATTTTGATTAGTATCAAATCAAAGTAAAATACTAAAATAAAAAAGGCATTGATAACAAAAGTAATAACAAATAAAATTAAAAAAAGTTTATAGCCAAAATAACTAAAGCCCTATACTACACCAGATTTTATTCAGATTGGTAATTAACAAAGCAAAATGATATGTGGCTGGCCCCTATCTTGAGAATGTGCAAAAGTATACCCCATTCACATAACAAATGTGCTCCTTCTAAGAAAATCGTTCTATTCTGACCGTGACATGGGATATGAGCACAAGCCGTTTCAAATCCGAATTAATAATTACTATATGGACAACCGTTTATTATAAGTGGTATTTATAATTTGAGTCATGAATGCTGAAATTGTAGATCCGTTTCCAGACACTTTCTTCAAAAAGAGACCCCATCATAATAATTCCCCCCCCCCAATAAAAAGAACTCTGTTCCAAATGAGCTTGCTAAAAATAAAAAGATTAAATCCAGTGGCACGTTATGAACGCCAAAAAAATCAAAGTGCATGTATTAAATTATCAGTATTAGTCGACTCCTGACGAGTATACCGTACCTACATACTTCAATCGCCCGGAAAGCTAACTATTTTTAAGTCAAACGAAGGAGAATTATTGCATTTTTCATTATCGTTAATTATCAGATAATTTTTGAACATAAAACTGAATAAATCAAGACTAAAAGAAATCCAACTCACGTCAACACTACGATAAAAACATTCGAAATTGTGAAATTATTTCGTTTTTATGGAGGAAAATGCAGTATTTTTACCAATTAAAATCATATTTATTATTCATACATGGGTTGTAAAATATGCTACATATTTTGTAATTCCATTCAGTTGCTTTCAGTCATAATTCAAGTCAAATGAAATGCATAAACATCGAGAATACATCAATTTTTTTTTAATATTCACGTCTAATCGGTAATTAGAAAAATTATTATTGGTGTACATATAGAATACATTTTTCTATGAAATATTCTAAATATATTACTGATTTTGCTTGTTGTTTTCAGGTTGTTTTTCAAAAAATATATATGTAACGAAGGCTCAGAATTTCACAATGTTATAAACGGAAAGTCTTTATCGTTGTGTTCGTCTAATTTGCTGTCTAATATCGATGTATCTGTCAATAATTATCCACGAATTATACCTTGGACCCCGATACCAATCTGTCTATAGTCAATCTAAGTTCTAACCCAATGACACTCTGTCTAGTATATCGATATAATATCAATTGATCGGATAATCAAATCTGTCAACAATTATCTCTTGATTATTCGTTCATTCTAATTCCATGAAAACCATAGACGGACCAATCCGTCTAATGACAATTTAAAACTTTGATAATTATCAGATTATGAGTAAACGTTCAATAACCTAATTATTTTATAGTTACCGTGATCATAAACAACATTACGCTACAAACTTCACAAACGTGAAAAAAGTGTATAATATAAACAATCATTAACTTAGTCTGGCGATATATATTTCATTTTACAGTTTGGACCCTCCCGCCCCCGCCCATAAAAAAAATCCTGTATCCGCCCATGGAATTACTAGTACGTACAATTGGAATTTCCAAACAGCTCCTCGCTAATTAAGAGGAAGTAGAGCCCATTCAAAAGACCAGAGAGCAATCTGTCGATTTGCATTTGAATGGCATTTACATCGACGGGGAAGTCCCTTCTCAGGCTGCGTATACCCAGCTACGTGCTGTGTAATACAGACAATGGTAATCAGACAACAATGGAAATGCAAATCACATACCGCCATTATTACCACTGAGTCTACAGTGAACCAGCGAACGCTTTAAATAGGACGTGTTTTATTTGGAACCATTTTAGCAGTTTTTATAAAGATCGTGCCAGCTTTTCTGGAACCTGGTAAGTATTCGCATGTTCTGTTTTACCATCGGGTTAACTTAGTCTGTCGTTGCTGGCACTTAAACGATCCGTTACGTTTACAGTGTAGCATTTTCACAGTTCCGTGACCTCTGATCCAAGATGGTGCCCATCATACCCGTGTTTATAACTAGCAAAGGCGGAAGAGATTTTGAGAAAAATACAGAAAACTCACACAAAACAGAATAAGGTCTTGTAAAAAAGCAGTCACCTAGTATATCTAATTTTTGTCGACATATTGCCATATATTACAGATGGTTGCCGTTTTCGGGTGCCGGAAATCGGTCGATTTATCGGAATTTCACCGCGCCCTAGGGTGATCATAATACATTGCGTATATAACTCGTACCAGACTAATTCCGTGTATACGTATAAGTGTCGCTGAACTTTAATGTATATTTCATTGATTTGCATCGCATCAAAAACTGACCAGGATAAGATCGGGTCGGATGGTAATGGCGTGTTGGGGCAAACAGGTGTCGCCACCCGCAACCATTTTAATGTCATCATGTTGTGTGATACGGATAAACTCTGATTATACATAATCATTATAATCGGCAATGACAAGTGAAATCTCCCTTGTATTAATCATGGAGGTCTCTTTTCTACCTCCATGTATTAATTAATACCATCACACAGTGAACTACTAGGCCTACAGTAATAAATTAACACTTTAATATAGGCGATGGGGGGGGGGGTCCTATTAAATAAATATATACAACAAAGCATCAAGGTCAATGACAATTTAAAGATCCCAGTTCTATTTGGTATATCTGTAGAGCGTTTGGAATCGTGTGGACTCTGGTTTTAAGAGGGCAGCTAGGGAGTGAAATAAACGCACATACTGATAGCATGGAACTATAAACCACAGGAGGAACAACCACTTCGTTTCCTTTTAACTCAAGGATGATAGTTGTCGCCATGTCAAATGTTTATTTTGACTGTTTATTTCGTCGTGGTTTATAGTTACAAGCTGATAGTAAATATATAGCGTAAGGTAACACACACATTGGTACGAGGACAATTTTCAGTGATACTTGAACTTAAAGATTGTCATAGTTGAATTAATATCGCACTCTGACAGCATAATCGCTATATGGCTTCCATCCGTCTGTGTATAAATACATGAAACGGGGTTTAACATATTTCTGCGCTATAGCCCAAGATGTTTTCATTCAACACTCAGATTAGTTAGCATCGGAATGTCAACTATTTGAATACAATTGTTTCAATGAGTTGGACCTTAGTTACCATGGCAACGCCGTTATATTATCTCGAGTATGTTTTCTAAATGTATGTTTTTTGACAGTTCGCGGATGTTTTGTTAATAGCTCTTGAGGCAACGGTCTGTATCAGTTGCGGTTGTGGTCTGATTATATTTTTAGACGTCAGAAAATGAGTTGCATTATTATAAATAAAACAAAAATATTTCCACACAAAATGAAAAATTGCAGTAACCCCGCCTCTTTGAATATCAAATTAAATTTAGTGATTTTTGAGATGACAAATGTAGTGTTATTCCAAATGTAGTGTTGCTTCACGATTTGGTTGAATCATGGAGGTAAAAAGTCGTACAGTCTTTTGTCTCCATGGTTGAATCTAAGCAATTGCAGCCGCAAGGAGTACAGTTTTGGGGCCGAGCTACTGACATACGTTGATATCTTGATATCGACAAACGCCAATACTAATAATCGTGTTAGTTTTACTTGGATGGTTTAAGTGTTTTATTACCGACGGTCATGAATGCGCCATAGATGCAATGATGACCGCCGAGATCTCGCTGAGAGCGAGAGGGTCACGTGACGTAGAGTGTCCCCTGTTCTAATATCATGGTCACAGTAGACACGATGGTTGGAAAGGTGAAACAATAATTTTATGCAATAAAAGTTGGCTAAGTTAATAACACGACTTATGAAAAACTTTCTTACACTAAAGATGACATGATCAGCTTGCTAGAGTATTTTATTGACAGCATATTTGTCGATTTGGGGGATATATTTTTCAACAAAGTATATTGTTTATGTTCTTCTTTTCATCAACAATCCCAAATTTAGTGAATATATTGGAATGATATCATCCAGAGACTATCCTCGGGGGCGGACATCCGGGCATTTACCAACGCCTGGCAACCCTCGCGGTGAACTTGAAAACAAAGACCAAAAACTCGCAGAAAACGGTACTTTGCGATGGTTGATGAGAGTCCCCTGAACAGTGTAACAAGATTAGCCCTACGTGTGTAACATATATGAATTTGGTTGTTCAGGATTACTTCAAAGTTGAGTTTGTGTTGTTTTCTCGAGTTTTCACCGGCTCCACCGGCGTTCCACAGCAGCGCGCACAGAGCCCATAGAAATACGTGGTACAGTGGTGCGCGTCTTAGCAACGTAGAAGGTCTGTGACGTAGCTCCGCCCCCGAGGATAGAAACCTGTGCTCGGTCTCATACTTAGATCTGTGCCTTGAATTTGATTCTACGGGCCTGTTTTCTATCAGACAATATGACAAGAGAGATACTTTTACTATCATTTACACCTTTATAGCCATGAATCTGGCTATACTAGTAGTAAAATGGGATGGACATAAAACATAGTACATCATAATGGTATGTGCATGCATGTAATATCAAATAGCCCAACTTAAATTTCTGGAACAGACAAATTGAAGCAAATTTCCGCTAAATTCAAAGTGCCATCAAGAATTTTACGGATAAATCGAGCTTAATCTTTTTGACCCAAAACAGCGCTCATCAATTTGCCTATCATGATCCAAGTCATTTTACCGACAGCCTAATATAAATAACGCATACGCTGACAAAGAACTGACGTGGATCCAGGCATAACCATTGAAAGAATCACGCGCCCATATTATTCGGGTTGTAATAATAGGCGAAGTCATTATCGTGTGTGGATTTCCGTGTTTTGCTTTGAGAATCATTGTAATACAATTTTGTGCATGTTGTTTTCGTCACAGGCTCCAAAAAACACTGAACATGGGCGGTTCAAGTAGCAAACAGAAGCGGAATAAAAAGAAACGGCACTCGGCCCCGGATCTTCGTCCTTCTGCTATCCCACCTCAGCTTCATCACGCCAATACATCGCCGGCATTTTTCACTCTGCCGCCCGCGGGGACAAGCCAACCAACAACTAACTCGTATCCACAACCAACACAGTTTCACAAACAGCCAAATGTTAGACCACCGATGCCAACCCCACATGTGCCTGTCATACCGGCTCATGGTGTCTCAGCAAGCCGAGACCAGGCACTACATCCAGGTGCACAGCAAGGTAAGCCCTGTATCTACCTCATGAAGGGTTGACTCAAATAATGCAACGACTACATAAATACTAATATTTCATAAATGGCAATTATGTGGAAGACACTACTCGAGAATTCAAACTTTTGTTACCCATGATACACTGAACTGGTGTGTACGTACAATGAATTCAATGCGCATGTGCTTCACGTATTTATCGAACGAGCGTCATTTTTACGATAAACCGTTCGTTGTTTTTTTTCATCATCAAAGCATTTTTAAAAATTATTTTAATATTGCCCACGTTTTATTATGACCAGGACAAGCCGGAACCTTGTAGGCTTGCCAGTGTTTACCTTCGTCATATTAATCAAATTTATATTGACACACACACAGGTGACCAGAATATATATGTAGCTGTATTCTCATATACTGCGTTAAATGACGAAGATCTGACTTTCAAGAAAGGAGACAGGTTCAGAGTTCGCGATAAAGGGTGAGTTAAAAACTATAAACTGCGCATGCCCACAGAGTATTTAACGGGTTACTGATTTGGCGATGTGAATCAAATGATTTGTAGTTTTCTTAGGCCAGGGATTTGATCTGAGGTTTGGGAGGTTAGAAACAAACACGCACATTGCACAGTTAATGAAATGGAGAAATTCTATTCTTATTTGATTGATAGGTTTTCTCTGTGGCACATAAAAAACGCTGCTAAAATTCTATTTTGTGCATATTATTTGTGTTTTTCTCAAATACATATATTGACAGTGAACTTGCTGTTGATCAGTAATAAATCTAATATTATTACACTTATTTCGACACCCTATATTGTGACCGCTATAATGCGGTGGAATATGCGCACGTGTTAAACACACAGTGCGTAAAAATCGAACTTAACATCAAATTTTAATAATATTAATAATTTGATTAATTACGTCACTCATATGCGTTCGATCGGAATTTAGCAAAACAAGAATGAGTCAATTGAATATTCCATATTATCTCCCAAAATAATGACTCTTGTACTACAATAATACGCATCACACCCAGTGATACAGCAACGTTCGAGACACATCATTTCGGAAAATGCCCCGAGTATTACTGTAACCTTGGTAGGCTGGGCAATCATTAAAGTGATTTTATTGCTATAGTTTTTGTATTTACTTCCGTGTATCATTCGGTTCACTTTGACCCGCTGTGTTTGTCCCGCCCTGGAGTCCGATGTGAACGTTATTTATGGGTCACTGGTTACTATACTCATTGGATCTAGTCCAGCAGTAAATATATTAAAATTAAATATTAAAATTAAATAAAATTGAATGAGTTATGTATTGAAATGGATTGTTTGTTCTAGTATTAAGAATTTCCATGTTTGTAGCTAGCTGACCGGAGTCATATTTCATGTCGCACACATGATATCGCGAGTTGTACATTTGACGGAATTTGTTAGGCGCTGGTCTAAACAACATCAATGTCTTACATGAGGGTTTCTACACTTGTAAACCATTTACTTTTTCTTATTTACTAATATTTTACCTGTATTTACTAATGTGTCATTATCAAAGTTTGTTACCCGGTTGATGTTGTTCTTGATAAAACAGTCAATGGGGTACCTTCCTAGCTCACCATCATAAACAGCCATTTTTGGTGTGAATTTGTAGAGACCAAGAATGAACCAACAAAATGAAAGATGGAGATCCTCAGCTTTCATCACCCTAAATATCACTGCCGTATACAGTAATGGGTCTTATCAGTTTGTCAAATAGTAGCCACTATATTTCTATTTCGCTAAACGGTAGCTACCCCCGCACTCGGGCCATCACGCTAAGTTTTAGTCTGGCGCGTGTAGAGTGCTACGGTGAACTCCCAACTCGTGCTTATCATACGAATCTGGGGTTGAAAATGCGGATAAAAACACTGACAAATGATGAATTGGTTACCTGCATTCATTGCGTTGCATCATGGCCTGATTTGGGGTCAGAGGTCACAAGGATCAATACAGCAAATATAATGAAACAAATTGTGGTACAGCTGTTCCGGAATGACGTGAAGGTATCCAGGCAGAGCTCCAGAAGGAGTACCTACACTTTATGCAATTTTTTTTAAATTATGCTAATTTATTCATGACGTAGCAGTTTCTGTGCTCATGAATATTCATTAATTTGTGGGTCAATACATTTTAAAAGGGGCGATATATTATTTTTGGGGGTAGAGTTAGAAAGGGGGATTAGCAATCCTTAGGGGGTCAATACAAAAGAAGGGACCCATTTGGAGAGCAGCCATGCTCCTCGTATCTTCGTATCTGTTGTTGCACGTGATACTACAGCTGTCAACTGTGTTCGTCTTCGACTG